ATATTATATGTTCATTTCAATCAATGCCAAAAAGCATCACACAAAATTCAATACATGTTCATAATAATAATAAATTAGGACTATCAATCTCATAAGAGAAAATAAGAAAGACCCTTCAGTTAAAATCATACTTACTGGTCAAATATTAAATAAATTCTATGGTTGGGAACATTTCAAGAAACATATCAACACTCACTCCCTATAGTCATCATTGAACTGTAGACCCTAGCCCAAAAATAGGTAAGAAAAATGAATTTTTAAAAATCGAACAAGAGAAATAAAAAATCCTTATTTGCAGATGATAGAAAGTTTGTGTTGAAAATCAAAATACATTTAGAAGAACCTACTAAAATTAATAAGTGCGTTAAGAAAGCATAGGACCCAAGGCCAATATTGAAAGGCAATTATACTTTACAAATGAACAATGAGTAACTAGAAAATTAAAAGTATTTAAAATAATGTCCCAAAACAAACTACTCTGGTAAGATAAACAATACATTAGTTTCCATACTAAGGTGACTAAATGAGTCCTCTGGTATGGGAGGTTCATAGCACCATATGTATATATAAAAACCAGACCTATATTTGGACAAAATGGAAAGATTAAGAGTCAGAATCAATAGATTTCCTTGTTGTAAACCTTGGGCAAAATAGATGATTGATCATTGGAATCTGATATCCTTAGGTACAGATCATCTATCTCTATTCCAACAGAGATATCAGGTCCTCAAGATTTAGAAACTTCTGGTCATCAATTAATGATATCTCTAGATACCACTGCATGCTCGATTTCCATGGATGAACCCACAGGACTAAGCTTGCTTATTCCCTGAAATTCTACTAAACCTCTGCTTCTCAAATTTGTATGATGGACAACTATCTTCAAAATTAATGTCACAAAACTGTCCCAAAACCAAGACATGTGAGTATTTGCCACTCAGAGGTGCAAAGGTTAGAGAGAAATAAAACCCTAGATCTGATACTTGAATCATGAGAAAATCTACAGTTGATGCCCAAAACGTTTTATTTGGAGTCCAGAATCTTTCCTCAGGACATGTGTTGAGAAGAAGCAATGTAAATAAAAGGTACAGGATTCATACTCTGTGAGGAGAGGGCTCTGGTTGGGGCAATGGATGCTGTTTTTACTTTTTAGAAAAATATTTTGATTGACTTCAAATTGGAAGGGAGAAGGAGAGAACTATAAAAACATCACTGATCAGAAAGAATCACTGATTGGTTGCCTCTTGCACATCCCCCATCGGGGATCAATCAAGCCTGCAACCCAGGCATGTGTCTTTGACCAGAACCTAACTTGGGACCCTTCAATCCTCAGGCTGATAGTCTAACCACTAAGCCAAACCAGCCTGGAGTTCTTTTTTGTTGTTGTTCTTTTTTTTTCCTTTTCTTTTCTTTTTTTTTTTTTTTTTTTTTTAATGATGTCTTAGCCTGAAGAAGTTTCCTTTGTGTTTTCTATCTCAGGAACTTTCTTGTAACTTGTTTCACATCTTAAACTTGTATACCTGTTCCACAGAGTTCAGGTTTTACTTAATGAGTTCTGGTTTCAGTTACTGTAGCAATAGGGTAAAAGGAAAACAGAGCTCAAAGGAGTATAAATAAGAATTTAATTCCTCCGATGTCTATGAGAAAGGAACACGTGAGAGAGAGACAGAGACAGAGGGAAGTTGGATATACCTATCTGATAGTTATCTATTCTGTAACTATTTTGGAATCCCCTCCCCCCATAGGTCTTCCAGAAATGGAGAACCGAAGAACTGCTTGTGAGACAGGGACCAGAGCAGATATTGGCCAAGCAGCCCAGTGTTTCCATTTCTCTCTTTTTTTTTTTTCTTTAATATATTTTATTGATTTTTTACAGAGAGGAAGAGAGAGAGATAGAGAACTAGAAACGTCAATGAGAGAGCAACATCGACCAGTTGCCTCTTGCACACCCCCTACCGGGGATGTGCCCGCAACCAAGGTACATGCCCTTGACCAGAATCGAACCCAGGACCCTTTAGTCGGCATACCGACGCTCTACCACTGAGCCAAACAGGCTTAATAAGTAGGTTGGGAGCAGTGGGGAATGAAAATGCCAGACATTCACTGCAGGAACACTCCTTCCTGTAGTATCTGCCCTGCTGTCTCACTGGAGGGGAGAAGAGGCTCTACTCACGCCTGAGGACAACCTCAGCCCTCAGCTTCCTGGAAAGAGCGAGGCTGGCCAGGAAAGGGAAACATTGGCCTACATGCCTAACTGCTGAGGAGCCCGTACAGAACCCCTAACCTGCCTCTATCACTGGAAGTCATAATGTGAACCAACCCCTGAAACATGGAGACATGCCTGGGCAACAGAGGAAAGGCTTTCTAATGAAAGAGAATTACTATCAGAATACAAAAGAATGTCAAATAACTTTTACCTAGTATATTCACTTAGATTTATTTAAAAAAAGCTATTCCCGTACTTGAAATAAAGGAATTGGTAGCTACAAGAAGATAAAACATTATTTTATACTAAAAACTAATTACTAAGTGCTCAGTATAGTACACTTACCCACAGGCAGAATGTTATCCAGTAGACCTCTAGAACATATTCATCTTGCATAACTGTTGAACTGCAATGTGATTGAGAGCAAACTGTCACACAGCAAATGCAAAGAGAATGTTTAGAGAAAATAAATTACAACCAAAATTATATACTAGAAAATGATAAGATCAAATATATTTGGAAATTTCAAAAACAGAATGTTGGGTGCAGGTTAAAATGGGTCAATGGGGAAATAAAGTGGATACCTGTGATACTTTCACCAATAAAGATTTTTAAAAATAGATAAATACAAAACAATGTTTATTATGCAAAAAGATTAAAAAGAATGTGGTTCATTAATCTAGTTTCAAAACACAACAAAGGTCTAGTATTTGAAGTATATTAATATTCATTCCTAACATTCACTATTTGAACTCACAGAGAAAATTAATCAATACCAATTTGGATTACTGCTCATGTGCTAGGAAATGAGAAAGTTAGTGTAAACGTTCTATTTTTCTTTTCTTTTTATTTTATGTTTATGTTGATGTCAAAGAGAGTGAGGAAGAGAGGGAGAGAGAGAAACATCAATGGTGAGAGAGAATCATTGATCCGCTGCCTCCTTCACACCCGCTTCTGAAGATGGAACCCGTAACCCAGGTATGTGCTCTGACCAGAAATCGAACCACGGTCTCCTGGTTTACGGGTCGATGCTCATACACAATAGTCAGGCAAACATTCTATTTTTCAATTTCCACATTACTTTCAAAAGAAAAAGAACTTCATAGAGGAAGGGAGATGGAGAAATAAAACATCATAGCTGAAAAAAATCATTGATTGGCTGCCTCCTGCTCACCTCACTCTGGGGATAGAGCCTACAACCCAGGTATATTCACTGACCAGGAATCAATTCTTGGCTTCCTCTTGGTTCATAGGTAAATATACAACCACTGAGCCATGCTAGCCAGGCTCACACAGTATTCTTATCATGTTCTTATTGTTTTTATGTCTAATGATAACTGTGTCCAATTTAACTTAATCTAAGTTAGGCTGGTAAATAGCAATATGAGTGTGATTATGAAATTCTATCTGATTTCAAAGTAAAGGCTCTTCCCTGTTCAGTGTTCACTCTTTACATATCACCTGCAGAAGCATCTTGATCGTTAAGTATTCAACTTGTCTTGAACCATTACCAGGAGCAGCTCTTGCTTCATTAATGGCTATGAAAATTGAGAATGTCATTCACTATTTCCTAGCGCCTAAGATTTTCTTATAATGCTCCAAGCTCCTCCTACAAATCAGCATTTCCTGGTTTTTCCCTCCTACCCCCATCCTAGGGAATTGGATACCTATGTTTCTTTGGAAAGGGAACTGCAGAAACAGCATTGGAGCTGCAGAAACACAGACCCAGTTCTAATTCTGCCTTATCTGCTCATGAGCCATGGAACACTGGGACATACCTCAAAGTTTATAAATTCCTTCTCCTCCTTGAAGGAATTCATCCTTTTCTGATATAATTGAAAATTAACTTGGATAAAGATACTCTCTATATATTTACACATATCATTATGAATATATATTTTCTGTGTGCATGTGTGAGTATAAGTGCATGTACATACCTTTCCCAGGCCGAGTACTCTCTTTTACATTCCACTGGGACATGTTATTACGCCTCTATGTCTTGATTTGGGTTCTGTGCAGTAGCCACCCTAATTTTTTTTTCATTTTTTAATTAAGGTATTATATGTGTACATATCTTACCATTGCCCTCCCCACCCCATACCATACATGCCTTCACCACCAATGTTTTGCATCCATTGGTTATTCTTATATGCATGCATATAAGTCCTTCCTCCTGTAAATTGACAGTCTTTACTGTCTCTGTACCTATCTTTTTGTTCATCAATTTTTAATGTTTTTTATTACACACAAATGAGTGAGATCATATGGTATTTTTCTTTCATTGACTGGCTTATTTCACTTAGCATAATGTTCTCCAATTTCATCCAGGTTGCTGCAAATGGTAAGAATTCCTTCTTTTTTATGGCAGCATAGTATTCCATAGTATTCCTAGTTTTCTGACCCAGTCATCTGCTGATGGGCACCTAGGCTGTTTCCAAATCTTAGCTATTGTAAATTGTGCTGCTATGAACATAGGGGTTCATATATCCTTTCTTATTGGTGTTTCCATTTTCTTGGGATATATTCCTAGGAGTGGGATTACTGGGTCAAATGGGAGTTCCATTTGTTCTCTACAGTGGCTGCACCAGTCTGCCAGTTAGGGAGATCAGGCTCTCAGGGGAGAGCAGTTAGGGGGATCAGGCTAGCAGGCAGGTGAGTGGTTAGGAGCCAGTGGTCCCTGATTGTGAGAGGGATATCCAAGGGGTCCTGGATTGGAGAGAGTGTATGCTGGGCTGTGAACCAGGCCTCCAGTTTATTATAATAGTGCAGAACTCTTTAAAAGGTGCTTTACATTGAGTGAATGTTAGTTTTACACAACAATGTTAAGTTAGATACAGTTTATCATCCAAATTTTATTTTATGAGAAGAAAAAAAATGTATTCATTGTTAACATCATTAAGAGAGAGAGGATTTAAACTCAAACACTCTGAACAAAAAATATTCACTCTGAGTACATAAGTTGCATTTGTGTGCTCCCCCAAATCCCACACAAAATACTCTCTGGACAACCTGCTCTATGTCAGGCAACAAACAGACTTACACTCAAACACTCCTCAGTTGTGGTGGTGATTATGGATTGTCCTAAGGCCATGGTTGGCACCTCTTCAAGTTAGTGATAAAGGAAGATATGGAGAAATGGGAGTGCAGAGATATTATACCAGTACTTCCCTGTTTTGAAGAGGGATTACATGTCTTCTGTTGATAATACAGAAAATGAGTAACTGAGTAAATAAGCTTCTCTTCTAAGCCAAGAATCAACAAATATTATACAGAAGGGAGGCAACAAGGAAGAGAAGGTCTGAATGGAGCAGTGAGCTCAGATTCAGTGACAAAGGTCACTACTCAGAAGTGGGTGAGGGAAGGAGAACATTCAGGAGCTTGGTGGGCAGAGAGTCATGGGAACAGGGCATTTACAAGGATTGAAATAGGGATAAACTGTCTGGGAAAAGTGACATTTAGAGAACTTGTAGATGAGTGATCCGTGGTTTGTGACATTAAAAAATGAGACAGTGCTTGCTTCATAGTCTAAGAATACCCCAATTCGATGGGGAGCAACAGCCATGGGAAGAGTCAAGACCTTGGGATCAGAGGTGGCAGAGTCTTCAAAGGCATTGTACTCAGATTCATTCTGTAACCCTACAACCCAGTAGCCATTTTCAGGTCTGAATCTGGTGTAAGCATTTTGGTAATTTGCATATGGGTTAAAAACAAACCTAGACCTTTTTTTTCTATTGAGATTACTTGTCTTGCTGTGCACTCCCAAGATCCAGGCAATCTTCTTGGATACATCAACTTCCCAGTAATATTTTCCTGAGGAGAAATTTTGGCTGCCCAAGACATCAAGAGAAGAAAAATCACGTGGATATACATTCCCAAACATAAAATAGTTCCCAACTGTGATTTGTCTCCGATCTTCAGAAATAACAATATTCGACAGAGTGTTGAGTGGATTCAGCATCAAGTTCACTGTAAGGAAAAAATACACAGTTGGGTGAATTAAATATGGCATGTGTCTTGAGACATTTTGAGAAGGAATATGGGAAATTGACTTGGAAGAGCATAAGTCCAAGGGTCAATAATGAGTAGGTCAATTAAGAACTGTTGTATGTATACTTATTTGGATGGAACACATGTAACTCAGGTCATGGGACCTACAAGTACGCACAGCTTCTGAAAAGGAATCAAAACACGGTGATTTGAAGAATTTGTAACTTCTTACCCCAGTAGTTTTGGGCTTCCGCCAGCTCTGAAATGACAAAAGTTTTGACAAAAGTTTCAATGATATTAGAAGCAAAAAAAGGAACTCTGATACCTGTCTTTTCTCTAGAGTGGGAACAGGGTAAGGGAAGCCTGTGAGGTTGTCAACTGGTGAAGGAGGACAGCTGGCCATTCCCACTTAGATGTGTTCACAACTTCAGCACAGGGTATCCAGGTCTTCTTGTGAAGACTACCGCATCACTTTTTATCCTCATATAGAAAAACACCCATTACCCCATGTGCTCTGGTACTATAAGAATCTCCCCCATACACACATCCTTCCTCTGGCTCTCCTCACCTTTAAACACTTGCAGCAAATGAGGCAGATCTGGAAATCGGAATGCACTCTTTGGTTTCTTCAAAACAATTTTTGGCATCTTCCTAGATAAGACAAAAATTGACCCCTCATACTTCTTACCTAATGTCTCTCTAAGTCCACTGTCTCTCTCATCTTTCATTCCATTGATGCCTTATCATTTGAGGGAGGGACAGGTGAGGGCCCTGACACTGCAACCAGAAGGAATGTTTTTGTGATTACCTTTCTATTTACTCCCCGTGTGACCTTGGGAAGGACTTCTTCTCAGGAAGCTCCAAAATGGAAAAATTAACTCCATACTCTCTACTTCTTAAAATAATATTCTATTAGATGTAATGGTGGTACCTTTAAAAGTTGTCTGGAGCCTCTAATAAAAAGTATTTCACATATGGAGGAATTACTGCCATCTCAGATGCTTAGTGGAGAGGCTCTAGAACAGCGGTTCTCATCCTGTGGGTGGCAACTGCTTTGGGAGTCAAACAACCCTTTCAGAGGGGTTGCCTAAAACCATTGGAAAACACAGATACTTACATTACGATTCATAACAGTATCAAAATTACAGTTATGAAGTATCAACGAAAATAATTTTATGGTTGGGGGTCACCACAACAAGAGAAACTGTATGAAAGAGTTGCGGCATGCTGAAACCGGTTTGACTATATGGATAGAGGGTCGGCTTGGGGACTGAAAGGTCCCGGGTTTGATTCTGGTCAAGGGCATGTACCTTGGTTGCGGGCATATCCCCAATAGGGGTGTGCAAGAGGCGGCTGATCGATGACTCTCTCTCATCGATGTTTCTAACTGTCTATCTCTCTCCCTTCCTCTCTGTACAAAATCAATAAAATATATTAAAAAAAATAAAAATAAAAAAACTAAAGGGTTGCGGCATTAGGAAGGTTGAGAGCCACTGCTCTAGAACCTGGCTACTGAGAGCTTTAAGTTATCAAGTATGGGGGCTCTGTATTGCAAATCTGAAGTGTTTTCTATGTCCATTATTTCAGTACAGATGCCGAGTATCCTACCTAATAAAAGAGTAATATGCAAATTAACCACAATTCCACTACGCCTACAAGCTCTGCTCACCAGCCAATCAGTGACAGCATGCAAATTAACCCCAACCAAGATGACTGCAGCCACAGAGAGCAGGATAGAAGCTTGATTTTCCCTGACAATAGAGGAAGCCAACCTTCGCACACACCCTGGCTGGCCTAGGCCTCCACTCAAGGATACAAAGTTTCAATTATAAAAGATAAACCCCAAGAAAAATGGCGGCAGCCAGGGAGTTGGAGAGAACAGGCTAGGCTTGCCCCTGGCAATGGAGAAAGCCAAGCTTTCCACCTGCCCTGACCAGCCTAGGCCTCCACTCAAGGATATAAAGTTTCAATTATGGAAGGTAAACAAATCCAAACAGAAATGACAGCAGCCATGGAGCAAGCAGGGAGCTTGGCTCCGCTCTAGGCTACAAAGTTTCAATAGTACAAGGTGAATAATTCCAGATACCAGGGCCTCCACTTGAGCTGCTGGGGGTTTGGCTGGCTGCAAACCACCACAGACCCCTTGCCAAAGCTGCCCCATACCCCAAGGGAACCACCACCCTGATCCAGGACACCCTTCAGGGCCCCCACCCATGCACCAGGCCTCTATCCTATCTAATAAAAGAATGATATGCAGATTGACCATCACTCCAACACACAATCTGGCTGCCCCATGTGGTTAAAGATCGTGCCCCCATGTGGACGCAAGATGGCCACCACAAGATGGCCAGCAGGGGATGGCAGTTAGGAGGCACCAGGCCTGCAAGGGAGGGCAGTTGTAGGTGATCAACCCTGCAGGGGAGGGCAGTTAGGGGTGACCAGGCCGGCAGAGGAAGGAAGTTGGGGGCATATAGGCTGGCAGGGAAGCAGTTAGACATCAATCAGGCTGGCATGGGAGTTATTAGGGGGTGATCAGGCTGGCAGCCAGAAATGGTTAGGGGCAATCAGGAGGGCAGGCAGGTGAGCTGTTGGGAGCCAGCAGTCTTGGATTGTAAGAGGGATGTCCGACTGCCTGTTTACACCCAGCCCAGGGCAGTTGAACATCCCACAAGGAATCCCATATTGAAGAGAGTGCAGGCTGGGCTGAGGGACACCCCCACACACACCCTGTGCATGAATTTCATGCACTGTGCCTCTAGTAACATATAAAGTCACATTCCCTGTGGAATCATTTCATTTGGGAAAGGAGAAGTTAATACAGCCAAATTACTAGTGGTCAGAATTTCATATGCTTGATGCTTCCCAGAGGGTAGGCAAACTTTTCCTAGCAGTTCCTAACACATGTAAAAAGAAAAGAAATATATTATTGACACCAGGATTAAAGTCACTATTCCCTGAGATTTGAGTCTTTAATTAATTAATTAATTAATTAATTAGTTAATTTGTTGCAATCCAAAGAGCATCACCTAGAAAGACCTTGTTTCACTATGGAGAAATGGATATGTAAGGAAAATGTCCAGTGGAAGATTTGGGAACCTGTGAGGTAAAGAGGAACAGATCTTCCCTGTGATAAGATAAGCACCTAGAGCAAGAGATTAAGGTTTGCCGAAACCAGTTTGGCTCAGTGGTAGAGCTTCGGTCTGCGGACTGAAAGGTCCCAGATTTGATTCCTGTCAGGGGCATGTACGTTGGTTGCGGGCACATCCCTGGTGGGGATGTGCAAGAGGCAGCTGATTGGTGTTTCTCTCTCATCGATGTTTCTAGCTATCTCTCTCCCTTCCTCTTTGTAAAAAAATCAATAAAAATATATTTTAAAAAAAGAGAGATTAAGATTTGACTAAAGTGAGTGAAGTCATGGTGTTCTCATACTGTAACCTATTTTTTTTTATTTCAAATCATTTTCATTTTTCAATTACAGTGGACATACAATATTACATTAGTTTCAGGTGTTCATTCCAGTGATTTGACATTCTAAAACTTACTAAGTACTCATACCCCCCAATCTCATACCTATCTGACACCATACCTAGTTATTTCACCCATCCATATGGCAACTGTCAGAATGTTCTCTGTATCTTTGAGTCTGTTTCTGTTCTGCTTGTTTGTTTTTAGTTGTTGACAGATATGTTTTTATTAGCATTTCATTGTTTATATTTTTAATTTTTCTTTTTCTTCTTAAAGAATGCCTTTCAACATTTATTTTTAAAATATATTTTATTGATTTTTTTTTTTTTTTTTTTTTTTACAGAGAGGAATGGAAAGGAATAGAGAGTTAGAAACATTGATGAGAGGGAAACATCAATCAGCTGCCTCCTACACACCCTCTACTGGGGATGTGCCAAAACCAGAGTACATGCCCTTGACCAGAGTCGAACCTGGGACCCTTTAGTCCGCAGGCTGACACTCTATCCACTGAGCCAAACTGGTTAGGGCACATTTCGACATTTAATGTAATACTTGTTTGGTGGTAATGAACTACTTTAACTTTTTCTTATCTATGAAGCTCTTTACCAGACTTCAGTTCTTAATGAGAGCTTTGCTAGTAGAGTAATCTGAGTAGTAGCTCCTTGCTTTTCGTCACTTTGAATATTTCATGGCACTCCCTTCTGGTCTGCAAAGTTTTTTTGGGAAATCGACTGACAATCTTATGGGTAGGTAACTAATTACTTTTCTCTGGCTGCTTTAGCCCAGTTGGCATGGCTTAGTGGTTGAGAGCCAACCTATGAACCAGGACCTATGGTTTGATTCCTGGACCAGGCACATGCTCAGGTTATGCACATGCTCAGGTTATGGGCTCAATCTCCAGTGTCGGGTGTGCAGGAGGAAGCCAATCAATGATTCTCTCTTACCATTGATGTTTCTATCCCTTTTTTACTCTCCCTTCTTCTTTGAAATCAATAAAACTATATTTTTTAGCCCAGACCGGTTTGGCTCAGTGGATAGATTGTCAGCCTGCGGACTAAAGGGTCCTCGGTTGGATTCTAGTCAAGGTCATGTACCTTGGTTGTGGGCACATCTCCAGTAGGATGTGTGCAAGAGGCAGCTGATTAGTGTTTCTCTCCCATCAATGTTTCGGACTCTCTATCCCTCTCCCTTCCTCTCTGTGAAAAATCAATAAAATATATTTTAAAAATAAAGAATTAATAAACTCATCACAAAAATTCTAAAAACATATGTATTTTTTAAAAAAAAAAGAGTCTTATTTTGTCTTTGATCTTTGACATTTTTAAAATTTAAATATATACTTACTGTTGGCAGTATTACAGATATCCTCCATTCCCTTCACCTCTTATCCATCTCTAGCCAGCCTCTACCTCTCCAAGGCCTTCATTACACTATTGTCTGCATCCATGGCCTATGCATATAAGTATATAAGTTCTTTGGTTTGTCTCTTCTTGTCCTCCTCCCTCCCGCCCCCGAGATATGTCCATCTGTTTCTAGCCTCCATGCCTTGGGTCTTATTCTGTTGGTCAATTCGTTGTGTTCATTAGATTCCACAAATAAGGGAGGTCATCTGATATTCCTCTTTCTTTTATTGGCTTATTTCACTTAACCTAATAGTCTCTAGGTGGCATTTTAATTATAATGTGTCTTGGTGGACTCTTATTTCTAATGCTTCTATTATCCCAAAATCTATGACCTCCCACCACCCACATTCCATACCATTACAAAGTTTCACCTGTTATCCACAATTTGAAATAATGTAATACCCAAGTTTACTACATCTGTCATTTTTTAAAATTATGATTGATTCAAGATACTCTTATAGCTATAATATTGTCATCATACAAAAAAAAAAAAAAAAAAAAAAAAGACCATGCTTGGCCTCACACACATACCTTTTCAAGATGTTTAAGGTGTTAATCATATCCTGGAGAAAAGAGAGTAAACATTAAGTCCAGAGTAAGGTTGCCAGATTGAGAGATTAAAATGACTAGTTAAAATGTAATTTTGAATAAATCATAAATATGTTTCAGAATAAGCATGACCTCTGAAATAAATATTTAAGATACACACTAAAAAATAATGTGTTATTTATTTGAATTTCAAATTTAGTTACACATTCCTTATTTTGTCTGGCAACCGTCAAAGGAGTGATAAGTTTTCCTATCTTTCAAAGTTTTACTCACCTTCCTCTTCACATCCCTAGCACCCTTGATTTGGCTTAAATAAATAGATGGTCAGAATGTAGATTGGGGACAAACTGTAGAGATAAGACCCAGAGCAACCATCCTAGAGGACTCATGTAAGGATAGTAAAATCCTTACAGAATCTGAAGACAGAATATATTTAAAAGGAAGAGAGGTGCCTCCTATTTCTTTATACACATTTATGAGAAGACCCCCTTAGTTTATTATGATTTTATATATTCAGGTGACAACAGAAAAATTACTTTTTAGACATAATTCCAAACTCTGGGGAATCAAAGATGACTAATTAATACTTACATTTCTCAGGATGTATATTTTTCTTTTGCTGTAGGAACAAGCAAACTAGCACTTCAAGCAAATGTTTTTCTGTGTCTTCCTCTACTCACTCTATATATAGTCTACACACTACTACCCTACGGGAATCACATCAATGTGTAAATATGGTATATGTCACAGACACCAGTAGCAGAGAATGTCTAAAATAAAATTGACTGTTTCCCAGACATTTACATCCCATTGTCCAGAATAGTATCAATGTCTACTTCATCGCTGTCTTTAATTAAAAAGTGTATCTTATCCTGGCTGTGCCTCAGTTGCTGAGCATAGACCCATTAACCAAGAGATCATGGTTGAATTCCTGGTCAAGGTACATGCCTAAGATGCAGGCTCAATCCCAGTAGGGGCCATAGAAGAGGGAGTTGGTCAGTGATTCTGTCTCATTATTAATGTTTCTATCTCTCTCTTTTCCTCTCCCTTTCTCTGAAATCAATAAAAACATACTTTTAAAAAATGTTTTAAAAGTGTCTTACTCTGAATTGCAACATCGCAGTAAGGCAGTTCAGTCCTTCTTTTAGTCATCTACTCCTTCCTATCATAACATTATTTATTTGAACAAAATACACCAATATATTTGGTTTCATCCTATTTAGTCTAAACCCTTTTATACCAACAAAGCCTTGGCTACCAGTTGGCTGTACCTGCTCCAAAAGTTTTACATTCTGTGTTAAGGTTTTTGTTGTCTGATAAAATAAAAAACAAAACAAACAAACAAACAAAAACAGCTAAAACTGCCTTAATTTTTTAAAAAAGGAAAAACTCAGGTAACAGGCAGAACTTTTGCATTAGCTAGATTTCTAGAAAAAATATTGTTACTAGGGTCTATTCTTTCTCAAAATTTTCAAACTTCTGAAAATAGAATTCTCAAAATTTCATTTTCTACCTGCTATTTGGACTTTCTTTTCATTCTCTATAAGGCATCAACTTGAACATCCTTGTTTAAGTGATAATCCTGAACATAACATGTATCAGAAAAGATAATTTCTCTTTCTAAGCATAAGAATAAAATTCTAAGGCATACAAATCATTGCTCTGAATGGGTCGGGTGCATATCTTCAAATAATTACTGCATCTTTGGAATAGATATGCTATTTTAGGAATTAAATATGCTGATTTACCTAGAATTGAGAGACACATATATCCCTCATGCTATTAATATTCTCTAATCAGCTGCATGGACATATGATAGAGATGGGTTCCTCAAAAGGTAATTTAAGAGATGGTTATATAGCTGAAACCGGTTTGGCTCAGTGGTAGAGTGTCGGTCTGCGGACTGAAAGGTCCCAGGTTCGATTCCGGTCAAGGGCATGTACATTGGTTGCGAGCACATCCTCAGTAGGGGGTGTACAAGAGGCAGCTGGTCGATGTTTCTCTCTCATCGACGTTTCTGGCTCTCTATCCCTCTCTCCTCTACTCTGTAAAAAATCAATAAAATATATTTAAAAAAAAGAGATGGTTATATAAAAAAAAAGTAATTGAATGATGTTGGCTAGACAAACAACTGTCTCATACAGAAACTGTCCATTTCTTAGAAGACTGTCATCTTCTCAATCTATAAAAATCTCAGCAGGATTTTAATAAAAATTAGCAAGATATAAAAAAAAGTTTCATAGCAAATTCTATGGACATAGGATAGTATTTCTGGCCCAGATCATTGCAATGGGGGCTGCTTTGTATCTGGATGAACAGCAACTCTGGCTTCTACCCACTAGATGGCAGTGCAATTCTATGATCCCTGGGGCACCGTTTCTTAAAATGATCTCCTTAGAGAACAACTGATTTACTAGTACATTAGAATTGTTTTGAAATTGAATTGAATTGTTTCACTTCTTTTCAAACAATTTTTAAGGATAAAAAATGTTCTATGAAGTCACAATAATGGAAAACTTAGAGTATAACAAAGGTGACAAAATAATTCAGTGGAGGAGGGGAGAGTTTTTTAATAAATGTCAAACTGAATCTCTACATGGTTTAACAATTTAGTATATTTACTAAAATTATTTGAATTGTATACTTGCAATGAATAGATTTTTCATGTATTTTATAACCTCAAAAACATGTTTTTAAAAAAGAAGTAATGATCCAGCAAATGAAAATTAATTATTTCGGTATTGGAAATGAAGTTAAGAAATTCTTGTTCAGCTATCAAAAAAGAACGCAAGAGGTCAGAGAAATGAAATAACCTGAATTTCCAATGTTTCATAGCTTAAGATTACAGTCATGAAGTTAATACCATAAAAAAAAATAATAACATTCATACTGTGTTCAATTTATTTATTGAGTATATGTTCCTTCCTAATACTTCCCTAAGAAGTGTATGCCCACACACGCACACACACACACTCACACACAGAAGCACACATACATATTCATAAATGCTCATCCTTCACACAGGTGCCATTACATTGCCACTTCTTAACAAAACAATAATAAAATCAAACATAAAGAGAGATATGAATTGTTTGACTAAGCTTAATAAAAAATCTTACAAATGCTAGATCACAGATAAGAGAAGCCTATTAAAATCTTCTTTCAAAACTTTTCATAGCCTTTTATAAAATAACTAGAGGCCCAGTGCATAAAATTTGTGCACAGGGGGTGTGGGGTCCCCTTAGCTCAGCCTGCATCCTCTTCAATCTGGGACACCTCAGGGGATGTCCAGCCATTGGACATCCCTCTCACAATCCAGGACCACTGGTTTCTAACCATTTACCTACCTACCAACCTGATTGCCTTAACTGCTCTCCCCTGCTGGCTTGATCCACTAACTGCTCTTCGCTGCTTGCCTGATCCCCCCAACTGCTCTCCTCTGCCCTCCTGATTACCCCTAATTGCCTCTGCCTTGGCCTCACAACCATGGCTTTTTCCAGAAGGACATCCAGAAGACGTTTGGTCTAATTAACATATTACCCTTTTATTAGTATAGATAATCATGTGAATTTCCCTTTCCATTTGTACATTAAATTTTCCCAATGCCCCATGAATGACATGGAGATCTGTGTTCCAGAGAAGGAACACTGGATGATCAAACATATCTTTCCTACCCAGAGGGGAAGGAAGCTTAATCTCTGTGATTCCCCCAAATCACATATATAGGTGCTCCGGCCCAAGTCTTACCTGCAGCGTGTCTATAGATAATTCACACATACGACGTTGGAGATCTGAGATGAGCTCTCTCGTGTACTGCTTCTTTAGGATCACCTGGTCTTCAACCATTGCCAAGTTATCCAGCACGTGCACTTCGTGTTCCCTCAGCTTTTGCAGCTCCCTGTGCTTCTTCCTGTCCAGGATTTCTCTCATTTCATCAAACTCTTTTCGAATCCTCTCTCTCTCAGCCTGCATGTGATTTTGGGGGGAAGAGAAGAGAAAGAGGCAATCAGGGTGTCTAGCTGAGGGCTTACTTTTTATGGGCCTTGGGATCCAAGACAAAAACTACTTTTCTCAGGTACTTAGGAGGTAAAAGGAAATGAGCCATTCCTGGGAAAAGCATTTTTCCAACTATTTTCCCTTGAACTGTTTCCAAAGCAATTTATTCAAGTTTACTTTCTCAAGGCCCAAAAGGAAATACAATGTGCTACCTGAATGAGACTTGGATTGCAGCCACCTGTCTTGGATAATTGTGCCACACTGCCTATGAAACTCTTCCACCCATATCTCCAAAACAGGGAATCCTGAACCTGCCTTAACGTTTCTTCTGGAAGTATCAGATCCTCAAACTTGATAACTGAAATGGGACACAGATGCACAAATCGCTTTTACATTAGTCCTCTCTATATCTTTGCCTCTAAACAGTTGCTTTGACTTGGGAGTGTCTACTCTGTAGGAAAGGAATTGAATGAGGACTGGGCAAAAGTCTTCTGGACCCATTAATTCTGAGGCAACAAAGAGGAAGAAGCCTCCTTGTGACTGGACAAGGTGCTGCTCAGTTTACTGTTTTAGAGCTGCCGCAGGAATAATGTCTTTTTACCTTCCTGGTAGCTCTCTCTTCATTGATGACAGCTTCCAACTCCTCAACTTCCAGCTGCTCCTGCTTCAACCTGTCCATAGCTGCCTTTAGCTTCTCCTGTGAGAAAGGAACCACCAAAGTCAAGCTATGAGTTTTCTCAGCACCTGGACAGAGGATAAATGAAGAAGAAATCAGGCACATCTCAGAAGAGACTAGAATTTCAGAACTGAAACTAGCAATCAGAACTGAGAATGCAGACAGAAATCTGAGGAAGTATGTGTGTCCTTTATTCCAGGATGATGCAAGTGTCCATCTCTGTTTCAAGAGTAGTTTGGATTTCTCTTTTTCCTAGAGAAAGAACTGATCTTGCAGCAAGCAAGATCTTTTTGTTCTCCAGAACACTCTTCCCAGATCTAACCTACCATGTTCCTAAATATCCCATCTATTCACGGGGGCAATCAGAACATATCTTGGGAAGCAACTTTCACTCATACAACTTCTCTTTGATATGCATATTATTGAAGAAAATGAATGAATGCACAACCAGGTCCCTCAGGCCTCAGAAGCTGAATCAATAATATCAAAGAGAATGCAGCATCAGTTCTACGATGACAAGGGAAAGAAATAAGATTAAGCAATAAAGATTTCACTTCAGGTGACATTCTGCCCAATGTTTTTACACCCTGGGGCCTACCTGACATTCCTTGACCACCTCCTCCACGCTAGATATTTGGTGGCCTTGGTGCTGCTCCTGGACACAAAGACTGCAAATGGCCTTCCCATCCTCCTTACAGAAGAGATGGCAATTTTCCCCATGGTGCTCACAGAGATCTCTCCTCTGCTGCTGGTGGGGCCACATGTTGACTTCCTCAACTTTCTTCACTATGTTGCCCAACTGCTGATTAGGCAGGAAGTTCCCAGGCTTGGATGTGCTCTTGCACACAGGACAGCAGTGTTGCCCTTCGAGGGGGCTCACTGACTCATTGTTTGCAGTGATACAGGCGCAGCAGAAGCTGTGGCCACAGTCCAGGCTCAGGGGCTCTGTGAGGAGCTGCCAGCAGATGCGGCAGATCACCTCCTCGTGTATGCTCCCCTGGGATGAAAAATCCATTGCTGTGCTCCTTTGGCTGCTTCCTGTCCTGACTCCAGAGGCTCTTCTTGCTCACAGACTCCTGCAAGGCTGGGAATATTGAAGGGGACAGGATAAGAAAGACAGGAATAGAAAGGATACTGGTTAGGCAGACATTTAGAACAGGACAAAACTTTAATATTCAGTAAAGAAAGGAAAAGAGACGGAGAAGAAGAATAGTCAGTGAAAGAATGCAAAGGTTCCTTTGTAATGATTTCAAACACTTTACTCTTACTGTATGTCACATGACAAATTTCACCCCATCAAGGCAATGCTTGCTGTTTTCTCTTTCTCTATATGGATAGAGGACAAATTGAGGCCTTTTCTACCAAAAGCTTTGTGTCACTCTTCATTATTCTTTTCTCTTCTTTCCTACTCTCAAGCATATCCAGTATTTTACATACATGAACCATGCTTCTACATTGTTTTTCTCTCTGTGTGACTTACTTTATTTGAACAGTTTTACTGAGTTATATTTACATCACATGCATTCATTTTAAAAGTACTGTAATTTCTAATAATAAGTTTATGAGACAGAATAATTATCACCACAATCCAATTCTAGAACATATCTATTTCTTAAAAAGAAGCCTAATGTCCTTTCTGAACCCAAGTCTCAGGCTACCATTAATCTCACCTGTGTTTTTGTGGAATTACCTTTACTGATCAATTTGTAAGAGTAGAATTTTAATATATGGTCTTTTGGGTCTGATTTCTTTCACTTTGCACGTGTAATTATATTCAGAGTTCTTTCTTCTCCACTGCCTTCTTCCAACCAGTGTTTAGTCTGTACCACGTTAATGAACCTCATCATAAGATCTCTAGCTCTCATGTCAATTTGTTTCAAATAAATCATTTGAAAATAGAAGTCATCTTTATAAAACAAACCTAATTCATCCCTTTCTCTCATTGTCAGTTCATCAGCCCTCTTCTTATTAGGTCCCGTGCAAATGAGTCTTTTATCTAGATTCCAGGAATGGTTTTCCCACTAGTTTTCCTGATCCTATCACTGGTCTCATCGTCTCCTTGCATCTCTGTTCACCATCAGCCACCGTGATTTTTATATATTTTTAACATATTTTTTATTGATTTCAGAGAGGAAGGGAGAGAGATAAAAACATCAATGATGAGAGAGAACCATTGATTAGCTGCCTCCTGCACGCCCCCTACTGGAAATCGAGCTTACAAACGCAACCTGGGCATTTGCCCTCACCAAAATCGAACCTGTGACTTCCTGGTTCCTGGGCCAACTCTCAACCCGCTGAGCCACACCTGGTTGGGCTAGAGTGATTTTTTTTTTTAAGTACACATTTACCCTGCCACTCCTTTGCTCAGATGCATGCCATCAGTGAATCCATCTTTTTTTTTTTAATATATGTTATTGATTTTTTACAGAGAGGAAGAGAGAGGATAGAGAGTTAGAAACATCGATGAGAGAGAATCATCTATCAGCTGCCTCTTGCACACCCCCTACTGGGGATGTGACCGCAACTAAGGTACATGCCCTTGACTGGAATCAAACCTGGGACCTTGCAGTCCGCAGGCCGAACCTGTTTCGGCAGTGAATCCATCTTTATCATAGCCTAGTTAGGCCTATATTAAACATCCCTTTCTATTGCCTTACACACTCAACTCACCTTCCCATCAAACCACACTGATTGCATTTATGTTCCTTAATCACTCTGGACAAAACATCCCCTCATTTCCTCAAAGACTTTACTTAAAAGCGCCTCCTAACACTGAGACCTAAAATTTATTTAAAACAATGAAGTCCTTTTACTAGGGCTCTATACATACCTTGTTTTCTATAACCTTTTGGTTTATTATTGTTGTTGTTTCTTGTTTTTACATGTATACCATAGGAATATCCATCTTATTTTATACCATCTTACTCTTTTATTTATTTTTTTTTACTTTCTCTCACCATCTCAAAATATAATTTTTATAGATACTTAATATTTATTGTACATTCAGTAGAAGTTAATGCAGTTTTATGCCATGGGTGAATCCATTTGTTATTGATATTATCATGTAAAATCTTTAAAATCTTTAAAAACTTATTTTCTCCTGTTTTGAGGGACCTGTAATAGCCCTTGAGAATGCAGTTAGTTTACACCAGATATGGACCTTGTCCAGGTATGAGTCACAGATCCATAATCTCTGAGACGAGGGGAGGAAGTTAAGTACACTTCAAAATCTATGTAACAGAGATATCAAGGTGCAAATTATTCAAAGGTGAGATTAAGATGGAGTTCTTTCTAAAAAAATGACAAACTCCCTTTCTTAGCTCCAGGCAAGAGAAAAGTCAGTAAAGGGGTAAGGTAATAAATAATATAAGGATTATGTCCAGGATGATGCAGAATGCACTCTAAAGCCAGAGAGGGCACCAGAGAGTCATAGGGTGCCCTGAGGTAACATGGCACTCAGGAGAGAATAAATTGCCTGTTCCAGAACTTTCATCTTTGAGAGACAAGTGGCCACATGGGGGCTACAGAGATAAGCAGCAACCTGGTTATCCAGCCTCTCTCATCAGGCTGGCCAAAGTGCTGGTCATTTATCAGGAAGGCTGTACACAGCTTCCCAGAAGTTACTGACTTCAGTAAAAGAATAGGTGGGTCAATTTGCATTCCGGAACTGGTTTGGCTCAGTGGATAGAGAATCGGCCTGCAGACTGAAAGGTCCAGGTTTGATTCTGGTCAAGGGGATGTTCTGGTTGCAGGCACATCCCCAGTAGGGGGTGTGCAGGAGGAGCTGATCGATGATTCTCTCATACATGTTTATAACTCTCTATCCCTCTCCCTTCCTCTCTGTAAAAAAACAAAACAAAACAATAAAATATATTAGCATAAAGTTTCCTAAAAAAACTAAAAATGGAACTCCCATTTGACCCAATAATTCCACTCCTAGGAATATATCCTAAGAAACTGAAGATACCAATAAGAAAGGATGTATGCACCCCTATGTTCATAGCAGCACAATTATAATAGCTAAGATCTGGAAACAGCCTAGGTGCCCGTCAGCAGATGGCTGAATTAGAAAACTGAGGTACATCTACACAATGTTATACTATGCTGCCATAAAAAAGAAGAAATTCTTACCATTTGCAGCAACCTGGGTGGAATTGGAGAACATTATGCTAAGTGAAATAAGCCAGTCAATGAAAGAAAAATACCATATGATCTCACTCATTTATGGATAATAAAGAAAATTATAAATTGTTGAACAAAAAGATAGCTACAAAGACAGTAAAGCATCAAACAGAAGGTCAAATTACAGCAGGGAGGTTAGGGAGAGGTGGGGGGAGATAAGAGATCAACCGAAAGACTTGTGTGCATGCATATAAGCATAAACAATGGACGCAAAAGTTTGGGGGGGGGTGAGGGCATGTATAGGAGTGAGATGGGGGGGCAATAGTAAGATATAATACCTTAATTAAAAATGAATATATATATATATATATATATATATAAACAGCAAGTGTCATATGCAGTCTCAAAGGTGACAAGAAAAAGCCCCCCAAGGCAGACCAAGAAGCAGACCAAGGAGATGGATGAGGAAGAAAAAGCATTCCAACAGAAAGCAAAGACCAAGGGGAGAGGCCCCCAGAACACAGGTGAAATGAAGAAATTTGGCCAGAAATGAGCTGTTCCTTGTGCTTGAGGCAATGGTGATCCTAAATTCCATTCCTATTTGCACATCTGGATTCTTTGTGATAATATCTCCTACAGATAGAATGAAGAAGTGTTGTCTGTGAGCTAATTGTACATTTAAGAATAAAGTTTTGTAACAATAAATAAATAAATAAATAAATAAATAAATAAATAAAGCTATTATAACAAAAGAGTAAGAGACCAGCTTCAAGAAGATCTGATCGCTGGCAGAGCACCTGTCCTTCCCACATGTCTCCTGCTGGCCTCACCAGGAATTTGGGCTTTATGAAGAGAGAGAACAGGGCTTATCTCTCAGGCTTCCTGGTGATTAGGAGGAAGGGATTTTCTGACTGGGAAAAGAAGAATATTCTGGCTCACTTTGGAAAGGTAAAAAGTCAAAACTACAGAACAGTAAGAAGATGAGGAAACTCAGCCTGGAAAAATAATGGTCTCTCCAAAGAAACCCATAAGACTGCTCTTTTAAATGGCCCTTCTCTAAAGATCACTCTTCCCCCAGATTCAGTGTTCCTCTTTTCTGCCACCTCAGTAGAGACACTCAGCAGAGCAGCTTCAGAAACACAAATTAAGACACCAAACACATTCAGTCTGCTCCCCCCAAACCTCCTGCCTTTTGTCTCCAGAAAATGCCCCACTTTCTTTCAGGACATGTATAGGAGTCTTAACTCAACAGAGGAGATTAGCTGTAAGTCAGGTCAATGTTCACTCACCAAGCCAGTGACCAGCTCTCCACAGAGGAGTTCCCCCACAGGAGTGGAGTGAGAAATGAAAGTTAGGTTCATAGGAGTGGAAAACAAACAAAGGAAACAAAACAGAAACTTAAGAGCAATAACACTGAGAAGCCATCACGTAGGACACTTAGGGAAGTCAATGCTTCCATATGTTCTTGTAATTTTACCCCTTTTGCAGATTATTCTAGCAAGAATATTTGAATAAGAAGAATGTGAAACCCAATGATACACTCTACAGCTATCCTGAATACCCGGAATTTCAATTTAATTCTATACCTACTAGTTAAGCTTGTCCTATAGTCACGTCCAGAACTACTTACTGCGGATAAAATCATGATCCAGGAAGTCTGGGTACCTGCCCTTTGTAATGCCGAGTGTGAAGGGGAAGATAATCAGTGATAGAACTCTGATAATTTGAGCTGAATGGTAGCATCTGTCCTTGCAATTTTAGGAAAGATTCTTCTTTCTAAGGAGCAGCTACAAAGAGCTGGTATTTAGAATATTTTTTTTAACCTATTGAGAAAAATTTTCCACAACACCACTGAACCTTAGCGGGTCTGTCAGTTGACTACCAGTTTTTGTTTCTGACCTAGAAACAAAAGCCTTCCAGACTTAATGTGGTACAGTTGTGGCTGTGACATGTTACCAACCACTAGGAGGCAGGACGAGGATGGAGGTTAACACATGGAGGTACTCTTCAGGTGGAGTATTTATCTGGGTAACATTCCTACCTCTTCCATAAGCGTCCACTTTCCCAACTTTTTTGGGAAATGATTGAAATTTTTTGCACCGTTTAATCAAAAGCATAACTGAAAAAATATTCAAATAAAACATAAAATAAATTTTGAAATGTTCAGTGTATGTATGTCCTATAATAAAAACAAAATGGAAATAAAATACAAGTAAGTATAATGAAAGCAGATATATTGGTATTGTTTGTAACTATAGTTGAGTAAAGTAACCTTGCCTTAAAACTTTTCTTAATTCTCATACGTTTATGAGGCAGGAGCTGGAATTTATATAGGTGTATTTGGTGAGCCATATTGACAGTTTCCATTTCATGGATATGAATGCATTTATTTTTAACAACACATAAACTCACGATCCTTTGCAAGTGCAACGAGAAGCATGTAAATTTTGCAGAAAGTGCATTCCGAGACCTTGGATGTTTTTCCTTATCCTCACATAATACTATAATTGAGTATTCCTCTTCATCCAGCCCTGCCACCAAAAGGATTAGATTCATGAAGGTAAGAATGGACTTTATGTGTCAGATTTGTTACAAAATATCAGTATATGGGGAGTGATATATAAATAGAAAGACATAAAGTTATACTGCTATGGATATAATTTTAGTTACATTGAGCAAACTGATGATAATCATGTTTCTGTTCAATTATGTTGTGTTCAATTATTGCTGTCAACATAATTGCTGTGGTCATAAATCAAGCCTCAAAGGTGTGGCTCAGTGGTGGAGGGTCCTGCCAGGAAGCAAGATGTCACCAGTTTGATTCGAGGCCAGGGCTCATGCCTAGGTTGCTGGCTTAATCCCCATTACGGGGAGTGCAGGGGGCATGGATCAATTATGTTTCTCTCTCATCAATGTTTCTATCTATCCCTCTCTCTTACTTCCTCTCTAAAAATCAATAAAAACATATATTTTAAAAAATCAACCTATCAAAATGGTATTGTTAGCATTTATATGTAAACTCCTATGACAAGTTTTAACTGACAATTCTTCCCATGTTCTGTTTTGTTCCTAAGTTGTATTCAGATACTTACCTCAATGTCTTATCTATACTAACCACATAACTTCCTGTACCCTGTGCTATTTTCAGTCCAGAAACAGTTAAAACTCATAGATCCAAAGTCAGAGAACTTCTCTCCAACGGGAGATGTAGGGACTAAAAGGAACACAGAGCCCCGAGGAGAATGTATTATACCGTAGGCCTCAGAACATAAAATACTGGGATGTGGACCACAGCAATGCGCTTAGCTCTGGAGATGAACTTTAAGTGATGGGAGAAGGAGCATGGTTGGCTGATGCTTCTTTGGACCCTGATGAGCTGCTTTCCTCACTGGTGCCTCTCCGCCTAAAACCTAATGTCACAAAGTTAAGTTCCCAAGACACCATCCCCACTCCCTCTGCCCTCAAATCTTCTCTTGGGCTTCTGATTTCCTTATTTTCCTGATTAATGATTTTATAATCTCTTCCCAGACAAGTTCAAAGACATTAGGTCCTCTTTGCAGCTGATATTTTCAAATTATAGATTGGTCTAAGCCTATATGGCCCTAAGCAGCTCTCCTTCAACCTACTGAAAATGTATACTATATGTTGTGGTTTGAGTTTTGAAAGAAAGGGATTTCTTGGGGGCTAAAAGGACAAATCTCACAAAGAGCCAGCTTCTATACACCTTATTAACAAAAGGATTTCATTCTCATTCCAAGCTCTGCACCTCATAAAACATCTCACATAAAGTCTGAGTGAATGCATAAGTTCTCTAGTGTTGGGAGCTATCAGAGTTGGCAAGCAACTCCATCTTAGAAAATACCACTCCGTCTTGGGAGTTCAGTATCCAACTCCTCTTACAACTCACAGTCACCAGAGATCACGTGGTGCCCTGCGGTTTGGCCAGAAGCTAAAGACAACTTATCGCTTAAGGACACATCCTGCTCCAGAAGATCCCTACAATGTCCCCTCCCTGATCCTCCCTCCCATAGTTTGCCCCGCCTTGGAACCTCCCCTTACAGCCTGTATATATATATATATTGCAGCTTCAACAATACAATTCGAGGCTTGATCAGAACCCTGTCTTGCCTCCATTTCTTCGCGTCTCCTGTCCTCTATCATTCCTTTCTAGGTGCCTCCTCGCCCCCACGTTGATCTCCCGCTGGTCGGGACACTCTAGGGCCCAGGATGTGAACTCAGATCAAAGATTCAAAGGGAGGCAAGAGTAAAACGATGAATATGAAATTTGTGGGAGGCACACATCCTAACATTTCCATGTGCACCCTACATAAAAACACTACATGTGTGGAAAGATTGATGCCAAAATGGAGAAAACAATTGAAAACAAAAGTATGCCGTGTGTGTGTGTGTGTGTGTGTGTGTGTGTGTGTACTCTTGATATTGATGATAAGGGATAAGGGCCTCAAAAATGTTGCATCGGAACAATCAGGACTTGTTTTCCTTGTAACTAGAGTCTTCATCCTGAATTGGAGGACTGGGATTTCAGTAACTGAAAAGTCCTGGAGTTGATTTGTCAATAATTGAAGGGGTAGTGTCATAGCCCCAGGCATCATAGCAATGGAGTGAAAGGAAGGCAGAGTTCTCTCTCTCTCTCTCTCTCTCTCTCTCTCTCTCTCTCTCTCTCTCTCTCTCTCTCACACACACACACACACACACACACACACACACAGACACACACACTATAATATCCACCTTGCAATCCCTTGTCACATCAAAGATAATCCAAAGTGAAGAATTTAGATACTCTTGTGGCCATGCCGTGATGAGAGCAGACAATAATTGACAAGAAAGCCCATTCAGTTAATTAATTAATTTTAACTTTTACTTCTTTGAGGACAGATTTGGGAATAAAAATTCCGAAAGACAAAAGGATGGTGAGAATATCCATTCCAGAAATCTTGCCCTTGCTATCTCTTTGCAGTACTGGCTTTTCTCTTGTTTCTGTAAACTTGCACCTCACTGAAAAAATAAGGCTGAACTGTGCAACAAAACACTGTTAAAAAATCTCAAAATTGTACTTCTTACACTTACATCGTTTTGTGAATAACTTTTTTCATTAAAAGTTTTTATTGTTGACATTTTTGCAGGTAGACCTCCCCCTGTAACCTCCTTTTGCCCACATCCCAATCCTTTGGCCTTCACAAGTCTATTGGCCATGTCCATTGGTGATACATATATATTCTTTAGCTAACACCCTTACCTTCTTTATCCAGTCACACCCACCAACCTCCCCTTGGGTACCAGTCTGTTCCATGTTTATGATTCCATTTTGTTAATCATATTATCTTGTTCATTAGAGTTCACAATTCTTTCAACAAGTTTTATTTTTTAAACCAAAGCAAGAATAGTAAATCTGAACAAAAACTAATATGTATTCTTAAAATCATTTATTTCAGTTACAATGAGAGGCAAATAAAAATGAATCAATACCATACAAGATGACTAATTATATGCTAGCCATGACAGAAGTTATTGAAAATAGTCTGTGGTTTCACTTTCACAATAATACATCAGGTAAATTTCATATAATTTTACGATGTGAAACTGAGTGTGTATAATTCAGATTACTTGATCAATGCTAATATGCAGTAACAGCAGACTTATAATAATGAAATTTTCACTCATACACAGTCTTGTCTAACACTGGCAGAGCTGGAGTAGTCTATACGTAGCATCACAGAGATATCTGGGATCTGAAACATGAGACTTTGGTAAAAAAAAAAAAAAATCCATGAAAGCAAAACCTGCTTCATGCCACACTGACACAGCTTACATTTCCCAGTAATTAATGGAGAAAATATTTATTCAGATGAGACACATGTTATATATTTAATGACATTTTTCTTCTCACAGTGATACTAACTATGGTATGGTTTTATTACCAGGATTATTTAAAGAAAATTAATCAGCATTCAGGTATTTTATTTAAAATTCACTGTGTATATTTAGAGAAATTGGACATGAACTCATTAATGAGGACAATAACTTATACTCCTAGTACATATTACGGTATATAATAAAAGCATAATATAAAAACTGACTGAAGGGCAGAACAACCACTCACTATGATATGAGCTGAGCACCAGGGGGCAGATGCTCAATGCAGGAGCTATTCCATGGTGGTCAGTGTGCTCCCATAGGGGGAGTGCTGCTCAGCCAGAAGTCAGGCTCACAGCTAGAGAGCACAGCAGCAGTGGGAGCCTCTTCCACCTCTGCTGCAGGTGGGTGGGAAGGAGGGGTCCTGGACTGTGAGAGCCCCGGACTGCAAGAAGGATGTCTGACTGCTGGCTTAGCCAGCAGAAGGACATCCCCTGAGGGGCCTCTGGCTATGAGAGGGCAGAGGCCAGGCTGAGGGACTCCTCTCCCCAGTGCATGAATTTCATGCACCAGGCCGCTAGTTTGTGATATTTTCTTATTGCCTGGCTGATGTTGCTCAGTGGTTGAACACTAACCCATGCACTAAGAAGTAGCTGGTGCAATTCCCAGTCAAGGCACATTTCCTGGATGCAGGCTCAATCCCCAGTAGGCAACATGCAGGAGGCAGCC